CTGCCCCAGGAAGCTAGAATTCTCACCCGGATACGAAGTCATCTTCATGGACAGACGGACCTGGCTGGAGGAAGGCGAGGAATCGCTTACTCCCAAGGGGCCTGTCTGGTACGTAGATGGGGCGAAGTTTAAGGGGGGAGAGGCCGGAGCCGGAATCTGGTGCGGGGGACCACGGGTGGAGGAATCCTACACCCTGGGCCAGGACGCTTCCGTGTTCCAGGCAGAGGTGTACGCAATCCTGTTATGCGCTATGCATATCACCAAAAGAGATTGCACTGGGCAGCATATCTATATCTGCAGTGACAGCTATGCTGCCTTAACGGCTCTTTCGCAAGTGGCTACCTGTTCAAAACTCGTAGACCACTGCAGAAGGGTACTAAAACAAGCGGCATGCTGCAACAAACTGAAGCTGCTAAAGGTACCAAGTCACTGCGGTATACGCGGCAAACCCCGAAGCTGACAGGCTGGCCCGTATTGGCGCCAGCGCGGAGGTGACAGGGGCCCAGTGGAGATAAACGCTCCCGGGGAACTTGTAAAGGCGCTGGGGGACAAGTGGCTGCACAAAAGATTCACCAGCTACTGGGCGGAGACCTCGGGGATGCGGCACACCAGAGCGTTCATCAGGAAACCCACAACTCAAGTAAGTAGGGACCTGATCGAACTGGATAAAAGAAGGCTAAGAGTGGCCGTGGGCACCGTCACAGGGCACTGGCTAATTCGACGCCATATGAAGATGCTGGGACGCGGAGAGGAATCCGCGAGCCGGTGGTGTGTGGTGAGGAAGAAGAGACGCCTCTCCACATGATAAGGGAATGCTCGGGGCTAAGGGAACCCAGGCAGCGCCTGTTAGGGAACCTTGGGACCGACGCACCCATTCTCGAGACGGTCGGGACGGACAGGCTTCTGCAGTTTTGCTACGAGGCCGGGCTATACCAACCCACCTAAGACCGCCTTTACCATAAGTTTGGACCCAGTACAATGGCCCCGTGGCTAAGTGCAGGGGAGACGGGGCAGGACTAAAGGGGGACATGAAATATTTATACTTATTTAGGCTAATTAAGTATCATAAATAAAGCAGCAATTTAGCTAAAACGTTGAAATGAGAGTTGCATTATTTAATTAATTTGTTTTTTAATAACTTTAGAGTTGTTAGATTTATAAAAAAAATAAAGGATCAAATGGTAACGAAATCATTAAAACATCATTTTTTAAATTTTCAAAAAAACTTGTTCAAAGTTTTAGTTAACTGCTATCTTTAATTATTTTTTAACACAAATTTGATTTTTGATATGTTTTTAAGGAATCGAAAAGCATCAGCATTAGTACCATTCCATAAAATATAATCGTCTATGATCTCAATGGCGACAAGAGAGAATTCTAGCTCAACCACCATCATTACTCATATTTCGCGCCATTGTGCAAAGACAGCGTTACAGTAAATTATTTATGCATAATAGAGGGAACATTATGGTGGAATTTTTAAGCTCGTTCCGATCATATCAACATAAAATTGCTGTTGTGTTCACTGATGCTGGCGTACTCCACAAACTACGCAATATCAGGACTAATCTCTATGTGGACATGACTCAAAAATTGATTCCTACGAATATGGATCTTTCCAAACTTGTTGCATGGACTATTTCATTCAGAAATCACGTAAGTTCTTACCAGCAATGGTTAATCTTCGAAGAAAGGTGATATATCTTATTTAAAATTAATGAATTTTTAATTTACAGAGCTTCCAAATAGGTTGGAATCTGATTTAAAAAACCCATAATGTATCATACCAAGAAATTACTACAGATATTTCAGAAAAATTTTTCACAAATAATATAACCATTGATCGAGTATTTATAATTTTGATAAAAAATTGTACAATGAATTGTCTACAAATTTCCCGAGGCTCAAATTCGAGGACTATTTATTTCTTATTGTATGGTATGTATATCACTCTCAAATAATTCAATCTTTCTTAAAATGTAATAAACGTTTTCTTTTTCGTTTATTCTTAGATTAACAATAATAAGGTTATCATTTTTATGTGCAGATATTACTGGATTATGCCAACAATATTCAAGGAATAAATGTAACAAATCCTCATCATTTAATTATATTGAAAAAGTTCATAGGCTTGAGCTTATTACCTGCAAATTAGATAAATCGTGTATTATCGATTTGTACAGTTCTATACCTGAGGTCATACTGAATAATGGATTTCTAGATTTCGTGAAATACTATTATTCCAATTGGATCAGTTCTGTTGGAGTAAACAACATTTCTTTTTATCAAGAGATTGAGGCTTTCTCGAACATCGCCCATAAACATTGGAAGAAAATAACTGCGAATTGTATGAATCACCTGATATTTGGAAGTTCTGTGGAATGATTGTTAAATGGATGCAATCAACTCATCGAGATCTTGATCGTACAGAAAGAGGAGAAAACAGATATATATCTGCACCATCTTTAACCTGTTGTCCTAAATCAACTGATTTAAGAGAATTATGGAGAAGACTTGATAACAATTTAATAGATACAAACACATTTTAGCAGTTGCATCAAATTTGATCGATTCAATTGTACAAGATATATGATTCAATGGGTTAACACTTTATTCAGACTTCTCTTTAGTAAAATTAGTAGATTTAAATGAAAATCCTCCAGAGATATCTTATAATGAAATAATGTGTTTAACGAAATATATTAGAAAATCTCCCAAGACAAAATGAGATCAGACATGGTAAGATTTTTATTACATTATATAATAATTTTACAATAGTAAAAAATACAAGTCAGTTATGAGTGTTTTTCATGATTTCTCCAAATATACACTTTTTTCACAGGCTTAAACGCTTCATCATTGACTACACTACTATTTCTTGCTCAATACTGTCATTCTTCTTACTCCTTCAATACTTTGACGTTGCTTTTTCTTCTAAATCCTGGTATTTACTTTCGTTACAAATTTAGAAGGTTCTATATTAGTTTTCACTGATATTGGCATGACTTTTGATGACGAAAAGGATATATGTTTAAAGAAAATAATTTGGTTTTAATTCAATGAATATTTTTCTTATAGAAAATCAAGAAAACAACGAATGCGTTGCAAGCTCATCGAACAGAATTGAATACATAATGCAACCTTATGGACATAAAGTTTATTGTTGGAATTGCCTGGAGATACTGGAGGCTTTGGCAGAACTAGATGAGCAAGCATTAGTGTGTCCTATCTGTAGAGCTGTTCCACAACACATTGATCGACTTAATTAATTCTATAATTTGTTTTTCTAAATAAAAAGTGTCATTTTGAACATGAGAATTATAAACATGTTTTGAAATTCTCAATTTGTGGAGAAGTACTCCAAAGAATTTGTTTTTTTAGTTGGTCTACTTTTGGAATTTTTAAGACAAAAATTTATTTTTCTCACTTATCAGTTTATTATTTAAAAAATTTAAAGGTTTAGTAATTTTTCTTTTAAGTTTCTTAAAGTTCTTATTAATTTCTTTGATTTTAAAAACGTTCTAGAAATTTGACATTAAAGAACTATTTTTATTGTTAATTAAAATGGTAATGTCTTTAAACAATATTCTTACAAATTAGTTAAAATTAATAATTAACATGTATTAAGTGGATTAAAAATAAAATATTTAATTCTAATAATATTTTCTAGATTGTTAAGATGTTTTCTTCTTTTAAAATTCAACCCAAACGTCTTAAATTTATTTTTGTAATTATTTAAGTAATAAAATAGAAAATTTGCTATGTAATATGTTTAAAATAATTTGTAGTTTTTTATGTTGGTATTTGACTTACCTTACGAAATCTAGTTTACCGGCAGTAGATGTTGAAAGGAGCGCTAGTGTATGCCATGTAGACAAAATGAATCATTTTCATGTAAAAAAATTAATTTAACTACATTTATTCAAGATATATTTTTTTAATTTATCAAATTACAATCATTATTTATCGTAACAATTGGACAAAATGAAATTTTTTACTTTCACTACTTTTTATCGAATGTCGAGTGTAGAAGAAAAACTCTTTCATAATAGTTAGTGTATATTTTAAACGCTAGGGTATTTCATTTTTGTTAACAATGATGCCGTAGACATTTCTGGGCATTCGGGACACTCTATGGCACCCGTCTGAATTCCATATATACTATACACTATTCCATATACTATAGTACCTCTTTGTCCAGTTCGACTATAACCAAAAAAGACACTTATTCCCACTCATGTAAATGTTGTGTTAACAAGGCAAAGTAGGAACAGTCTCGTTTGGTATCTTTTTGGTTAGTTCAATTTTATTAGCTTAATACATAGTTAGATCCAATCTTTAATTTTTTTTTCATGTAATAAATTTTTTAACAATTCTTTTTGTATTCCAATTCTAGATATTCAATATATTAAAAAATAAAAATTATAATACACACGTATGCAAAAATGGCTTGTGTTATTCAAGGTAAAATGTCATTATTTATATTTATACATGATTCTACATAATAATTTAAAAAAATATTCATTTGCGTTTTTCAGATTATTATGGCAAAGAAATATAATATCTTTAGGACATAAAAACTTCTTAATTTATGGTAAGATTCTTGTATACATAATGTTATATCCATATTTTATTGATAGAGAATTTTATAAAAAGGTATTTTCTACTACTTCAAATATTATTATATTTCATTAATAATAGCCATGTAGTATTTTTTTATCGGCTTATTTTAAATCATATAACAAGATATTTTTTATTAAAATTATTTTTAAAAAAACTGTATTAGTTAACAATGTTTTGATTCGTTTAATTTAAATTGAACATAAGAACACTTCATTATAAAATTCATGATAAAATTGAAAATTGGTTATTCAATCAATTATAATTCACTCAAGTAGAATTTAATATTATGTACAATAAGTTTAGAACATTTATTTGAGTAAATAGAATGATAAATAAACTCATTAAAAGTAATGTAACAATTTTAATTGTTCGTATTAATGACTTTTATTGACAGTGCTCCAAGAATTTCTTCAACTCTACTACGAGGAGTTACAACACCAGTATGTGAAACTCATGCAGAAAAAAATGAAAGATTAAAACGGCCAATGTCACCACATTTGACCATTTATAAACCTCAGTTAACTAGTGTGCTTTCTATTACCCATCGAGGTACTGGAATGGCTTTAGCATTTTATGCCATTGGAGCTGGATTAAGTAAGAATAACATTTTTTCTTATTTAATTTGAAAATACATTGTGATAAAATCAAATAATTTTCAGCTGAACTTTTTGTTCCGGGAGGAGTAAATCTTTTTATTGATTCATTTCATGCACTTTGCTTGCCCGTACCCATAGTATTTTTAACAAAATTTGCTATCGCATGGCCAGCGATGTATCATTTTTTTAATGGAATTAGACATTTGGTAAGTTATGATGATCTATTTAGAATATTTTAATCGGTTAAATTACATATTAATATTAATATAAATTACAATATAACAGGCTTGGGACATAGGTATATTTTTATCTATGAACCATGTATATAAAACAGGATGGGACGATGTTAGGAACTTCAGTTGTCACAGCACTAATAATATCAGCAATATTTTAAATGATTCATTATCATTATAATTAGATAATACTATCATTAATTAAATTTATTTATAGAAAATAGAAATTACTCAAGATTGTTATGAATATGGAAATACAAATAAATAGCACAATTATATTAAATTTTTATTGATAATACCAAAAATTCTTTTATATTTACTTATTCAAAATCATCCATAGTCATATTCATGAATTTTTCATAAATGGCCATAAATTTTGCGACAAATGCTTCAAGATGAAATATGCTTTCGAACCACGACACATTCTGTACTCGTATTCAGCAGCAATTGAAACTATTTCAGACTTTAGTTGTAAATCACCAATTTCTTATACATTCCTGAGAAGTCCTTTAAATATTAAATCACATGGAATAGCATGAGTTAATAACTCATACAGCCTACTCCGAATGTCTAAAAGTTTTTTTGGAGTTTGCTCTGCCACCATTAATGCAGCAGTTTTAGTGATAATACTTGCCAGTCCGGTTGGGTTATTTGTTGATCTACAGTAAATGGATATCTAGGAATAAAAAATTCAAATTAATAATAAAATATTTTAGTATTTGATTTTTTAAGCTGATTAATTGATCATGTAAAAATGACATATAAAATAATGAGAATGAACTTGAATTCATCATGAAGATAAAGATAAAAAAATTATTTGATTTTTGATAGATCAAATTTTAGATTACAATCTAATAATTATTAAAAATTATTATGTGGAGTCCAACTTACGATTCGACTTTACATGTTTCAAAACATTAGTATAGCTCGTCGTAAATTCCGTCCACTGGCTTCTGCTATTTTTTGTGCAAATTCATTGGTAAATTCAAATTTTCTTTTTTCGCTATAGAAATAAGTATTGATTTTGTTTCATCGATTGAAGGTGCGGGTACACGGATTTCTAGACAACGTGATCTAATTGCTGGTAACACTCTAGATATTGAATTAGCACATAAAATTAATCGGCAAGTTGTTATATATTTTTCCATAGTTCGTCGGAGCGCATGTTGAGCATCTTTCGTTAAGTGATCGACATTTGTCAAAAGAATAACTAAAATAAAATTGTATTGTAAGTTTTGATAGTATAATTTTATTATGCTGGATGATAATAAAAAAACGAAATTTATTCTAAAAAATATTATAATTTCTAAAATATTGATTGATTTATATTAATCAATATATTACATTACCTTTGAAATCGCGTTGACCATTAATGTCAATTTGATGGGTCTGAGCTGTGGTTTTTACCAAGTCCATAATAACACTTCTATCGTAAATTCCAACATCACTAGGATTTATTTCAATGTGATAATTACTACTAGTTGTCATTAATTCAAGTTTTTTCTTTGATGGCGTCTAAAAATATATTTTATTAGATTAGATACATAAAAGTATCCTTAATATAGTAAATATCGATAAATGTGCTACCTCAAATTGCATCGATTCCATCCGAAGTCTTGTCAACGCCAGGACCATAAAGTTCGCGTATAATAGCCATGACTCGAGTTTTCTTTCCAGCACCAGGTGGTCCATGAACTAGCAAATGAGGAAAATCACTTTTTTGGATCTGTTATGAATGTAAATTTAATAACAATAAATATTTATTCAACCTGTAATCATATATTTCATTTACACCGGTGACAGTCATTTGAACAAAACTAAACCAGTTTATAATTATTAATTGCAATTAATAATGTTGATGAAAATATCGATTACCATATTTTTTAACTGTTCTGCTTGATTAACATGATAGTCCAGTTTTCCTAGAGATATCGGACGGTATTTATCAACCCATAAACTCATTTTCAAAAAATGAAATAAATGAAAAATATATTAGTAAATAAAAGAAGTAATACTTAATGTTAGTACAGAACTTAAAAATCTACTTTTGAAATATATACATCATTTAACACAAGAGATAAATAAAATTAAAGATAAATTGTAAGAGGTTCAGTATCAAAAAAATATTGTCTATTCCACATAACCATTTAAGATTTGTAGTATGGTTTGGATGGAGCAACTTTACGTCTCCCTCCAATTTTGTAATTTGTCGATGATAATGAGTATGCGCATTGATGGTTTCACAAAGCACTCAAAAAAAATCTAAATGATGTTACGGGCACTGAAAAGCCTTTGCTAATAGTTCATTCATATTTTTACCAATATAAAAGTGAAAACGAGGGGTGCCATAGGGTAGTAGGAAAGAGCAGAAGGCCGACCATATTAAAAGTTTCAAAAATAAAAATCCCTTCATAGTATCAAGTCCACTGTATTTTATTATTATTATAAGTAAAACTATAATTAAAAGGAAAATTGATAAAAATAACTAAACTCGTTTTAATTACATAATAAATAATAATTAAATAATTTAATATACAATTATAAAACTACCAAAATTATTTATAACTTTTACAAAGAGCCCAATCAAAATTGTAGAACAAGAACAATATCCCCAAGCGACATTTGGCCCCCACACTATAGTAACTGCATTTAAATTGAAAAATTACCGACGGTTGATATTAAAAATTGATTGTTGGTAAAGTAAATTACCAGCTGAAGTCAGAGAGGCGACTGATTCCCCCTATCTAAATACATGGGATCGGGATATTTCTAATTTCTTTGCCAATTTACTATTATTTCTATAAAATTAGGTACCAAATTACAGATGAATTAATGCCGGACTGACGTAAACAATAATTTTTTGTATGTACACTGACAGAAAAAAATGTGATAGCTAGAAAGTATACTAGCGGCAAACACAAAATATACTCAATTTGAGTATAATATTATTTTTGATGCAAGTACGAAATTTTTTCGTGCAATATAAATTATGTCCCCAGTTAAAAGTATAGTAAAAAGTTTCGGAAGCGGTACAAAGTCCTGGATCAGTTAACTTCGTTTTAAATGATAAAAAAAATATGATTCATCGATAACCACTCATAACTACAGCGGTGAAGAGTATATTCAAGTTTATGACAAGAAGTACGTATTAGTAGCTTTCTACTTGATGTTTTGTGAGCAATATTTTGTCTTATCTCAAGTAGGTAGATAATAAAAGAAGATTACAAAGTTTACTTCAGTTGATAATATAGTTTCTTACACTGAGGATCTTCCTTACTTACCACAAGTGTATTTTATACGGAGATCCCGTATAAAGCGTACTTATGCTAGTATAATGCTGTTTTACACTTCAAAACCATGTTCTCACATTATGAATCCTTTTTTATTAATAAGAAATACTTGTTACTTGATTCAAGTATGTCAATTCTTCACTGCAAGTATATTATATACTTAAATTAAGTATACGAAGTACTCATGCTAAAATTTTTTCTTATTAAATTTAAAAATTTCAAAATATAAATAATCATATTAATAATAAAAAAGTTACTGTTATACCCATTGATGAAAAGTAATCTTATAATAATTACAACAATTACTGTTGTACTTTTAAATACGTGGAGCTGCTACACTTACACTGGGCAGCAGCTCGAGATATTGAAATATGCAACAATATTTGTTGCACTTATGAAAAAATTATGATTATCTCTATGAATTAATGATTATAATAATATTATAATAATTACAACAATTACTGTTGTACTTTTAAATACGTGGAGCTGCTACACTTACACTGGGCCTGTTAAAAGTCTAACTCGTATATAGCGCTCAGAGATAAATTATTGATTATAGAATCTTTAATAATAATTAATAATTAATTGCGCTCTGAGCGCTATATTACGAGTTAGACTTTTAACAGGCCCAGTGTAAGTGTAGCAGCTCCACGTATTTAAAAGTACAACAGTAATGTGTTGTAATTATTATAATTATTATTATAATCATTATCATAGAGATAATCATAGTTTTTTCATAAGTGCAACAAATATTGTTGCATATTTCATATCTCGAGCTGCTGCCCAGTGTAAGTGTAGCAGCTCCACGTATTTAAAAGTACAACAGTAATTGTTGTAATTATTATAAGATTACTTTTCATCAATGGGTATAACAGTAACTTTTTTATTATTAATATGATTATTTATATTTTGAAATTTTTAAATTAATAAGAAAAAAATTTTAGCATGAGTACTTCGTATACTTAATTTAAGTATATAATATACTTGCAGTGAAGAATTGACATACTTGAATCAAGTAACAAGTATTTTCTTATTAATAAAAAAGGATTCATAATGTGAGAACATGGTTTTTTGAAGTGTAAAACAGCATTATACTTAGCATAAGTACGCTTTATACGGGATCTCCGTATAAAATACACTTGTGGTAAGTAAGGAAGATCCTCAGTGTAAGGAAAACTATATTATCAACTGAAGGAAACTTTGTAATCTTCTTTTATTATCTACCTACTTGAGATATACAAATACATTGGCTCACATTATACTGATTCCAAGTAGAAAGACTACTTAAAGACAAGTACTTTATTTTCATAAAACTTGTATACTTATTACTTCTTCAACCGCTTGTAGTCTACTCAGGAGTGGGTATATTCTGTATTTAGACTCAGTATTTTTTTATTCATTTTAAAACGAAGTTTTACTGATTCCAGGTACTTTCTTTACCTGCCTTCCGAAACTTTTTACCTATCACTTTTATACTGGGGACAAGGAAATTCTATAATTCGCCACCGGAAAAAATTTCTGTCAGTGAATCGACTCATTTTTGATATTAAGAATTGAATTATTTAATAAATATGAGTTATTCAAAATATTTTGACGGGTCCACTCGATTCTTAAAAGTGTAATTTAGGAATAGCTCGGTGCATTTGTATTGATGACATTTAGTTGCATGATAATTATACAATTACTAAAAAGTGCGGCGATTCCCTCATAGCGCGACCAACGAAGGGTTAAAGAAACGAATAGAGGATAAAGAAGAGTTATTAATTTGCGTTAAAGAGAACTTTTAGTTTTTATTATTTATTTCACATATTATAATCATGCAACGGATTTTATTGAATTAATATAATTGATTGCTTAAGGTATTTCGATCGATATTAGTTTTCTTAAGGTTTTTTTTATTACATTAGAATGAAAAATTATTAGAAAATAAAGTTTATTTTCATAAAAAAATCAATTCATCATTTAGAACTCGAGTTAGTCGAAATCAAAGTTCACTCTTCTCTCCATTTAAATCGATGATAATTGACTACAAGATTAGGTTTTTTAACTTTCATTCAAAAACGGTTCTTTAAATTTTCATAAAAAAATTATATGTATATACTGTAAATGCTTTTATACCAAATATTTTGTCAAAAAAGAAAAATTAAGTTTTATCGTACCATTCCTAAAAGAATAAGTTATTGTTAATAATTTTAGTCTAAACTCTCCTATAAAATAGGCATTAACCTTCTTTTTTGAATCTTTTTGTGTTTTTCAAAATAATCGAAGACAAAATAATTAATATGGAGAAAGCTAGTATGTATATTCTATAAAAAAATTAATTTAATTCCGGGCCCAGGGTCTTTCTTTTTTTGATACGGCCCAGAGCGAGCGAAATACCTTACCTTAAATTTATATTTCTTAGTAAAAATTACATGGAATTTTTCAAATTTGAATCGATGAAATTTGTTAATTTATACATGCACGTATAATAATTGTTTTTCATGGAATAAATATTTGTTTGTTATTTTTAAAATGTATGTTAATCTTTTGTATATTTTTCCTCAAAATAAAACTTTCGTCTATTTCAGGGAAGTTTAGTAATGAATAGTTTTTTTAGACAATGCTAATTATTTGAAAATGATTTTTATTGTGAAAGAAATGTTCACAATTTATACAAATGTACAATAAATTATGGAATGCAATTTTTAATGAGTAATTCGATAAATACGTTACTGTGAATTTGATATTACATTTACTTGATGTATAAAAACCTAAAAGTGTTAAAAAATTGATAAATTTTACTGGAGTGTTATTGATCGTATATCACGTTATATCTCACAAACAAGTTTATTGTAATTATTAAATTGTCGATGACTATTTTTAAATTTATCCCAAGTTAACATATAATCCAATTCATAAAAATAGTGTTTCACACATTAAGATAATTACTTTTCCCACTAGTGAGCTAGCCACATATGTATTATTGAAAATTTGTAAAAAATGTAAAATTGAAAATTTATCCATGAAAACCATTAACTGATATATTTGGACTTTTTGTTGGTGACAATGATTGTGATTTGTTGAGATCAATTCCTAAAGTCATTTTGAGCAATCTTAAAACACTCTTTTTATCAGTATTTTCTGTTTCTGTAAGTAAGATAATTTTTATTTTAAAATGCGGTTTTGATTTTAAAAAATTGATTATAATACAACTTGTTTTTTACCTTCGTTACCAGTAACTTGTGCTTCTAAATTTAGTTTTTCTTGTGTAATCTGATACATTTCTTCTTCAATCGTACCTTCTCCTAATAATCGAACTATGCTTACTGGTCTGTAGATGAAATGTGAAAATAATTATTTCAATTTGATAATAAGTTATAAGTAAACATGATATAGAAGCAAAACTAACTGAGTTTGGCCAACACGATGACAACGATCTTCAGCTTGCTTGTCATTGTATGGATTAAAATCAATATCATGAATAATTACAGTATCTGCTGCTGTAAGATTAATACCGAGACCACCAGCTTTAGTTGATAAAAGAAAGATAAATATCGATGAATCTTGTGTAAATTCGTCAATCAAAGCTTGCCTTTCTATCACTGGTGTTTGACCATCCAATCTGAAAATAAGTTAAATTTATTCTTATTTCCGGTATTGTATTTATAATTTTAATATCTATAAATTTAGTTGGAACAGAAAAGTATTCGAATATAAACCTATAAAATGTGTAGCCTCTAATTGTCAAGTATTCCTCTAGGATATCTAACATCATTGTAAATTGACTAAAAATTAAGACCCTATGTTCATCTTCTTTCAGCTGAGGTAATAGTTCATCAAGAGTTTTTAACTTTCCAGATATAGGAATTAATTCTTGAGGTAATCCTTGACCAGCAAGACACTTGTGAACTCTAGTCAACTGATTTAATTGATAATCAGAAAGTAAAACAAGTTCTTCAAAAATATACTGAGAATTTTTCTGCTTATAAGATGGATCTTTTGATAATTTTTTAGCCATTGCATGAACTTTTTCTTCATCATAATAATCTCTCATAAGTAATGGATGGTTAGCAAGCTTTCTCAATTTCATCATCATGGAAACTCCCGAATCTTCACTATAATTTGCTTCTGAGAATTGTACCATCAATTGTTTATACATTTCTCGTTGTTTTTTCACTAAACTACATTTTATTATCTTCTCAGTCTTGATCGGTAAGTCTTTTAATACTTGAGATTTTAATCGACGTAGAAAAAAAGGTTTCATGATTAATTTAGCATTTTTTACTTGCTCTTGTTCAAAAAGAGGCTTATCTCGATTATCTCCAGCAAGTTTTGGAGTCTTAGAAAACAGGCTCTTCAAATCATTTTGTTTTCCTGCAAACAACGACGGCATAACAAAAATTAGAAGAGACATAAGTTCCAGAAGATTGTTTTGTAAAGGAGTTCCAGTAAGAAGGATTCGATGCTTGGCATTAATCCTCACAAGATTTGTGTATCGAACAGTACCCATATTCTTTAGCATATGAGCTTCATCGAAAATAACATACGTAATTGGCATAATTCTGAATAATTTACGTTCTTCGGGAGTACTGCTAACAAGATTATAGGTTGTTAAAATTACATCAACATCGTCGAGATCACCGTTGCGCCAACCCATTCGTATGTCTTTCCTTTCTTCTTGAGAACCGTAATACTGAACTGCCTTCAAATTTGGTGACCAACGTTCTAATTCATTACTCCAATTTTCTGTAAAGAGAAAAGTTTTATGATAAATAATTTTAGTATTAAGAGAAAATATTTTTAATGTAAAAATTTACCTATCGTAGAGCTAGGAACAACAATTAAATGAGGACCATCATTCTCTCCAATTAATTGAGCTTCTTTTAAATATGTTAAAAAAGCAATAACTTGAACAGTTTTTCCTAAACCCATTTCATCAGCAAGAATTCCATTAACATTTTGAGAATGCATCACAGCTAGCCAATTAAGGCCAACCATTTGATAAGGAGCTAATTTTAAGCCAGAAGCCAAAGCTTTTGGCTGTTCTTTTATCATAGAAGCACCAGCAGCTACAGCTTTTTCCATATTTGCCGAAAGCCTGAGACATTTTTTCATCAAACTATCGACTGCTGATCGAGTAGCTAATAAAACTTGTGCTGAATTAAGTAATTCTGTATCCAGATACTTTGTATGTTGAAATTTTTCTATTAAATCACGCCAGTCTTCGAATGGTCTTGAATCAATGATTGCTTGAGCTTTTTTTTGAGAGCATTGACTCATAAGTAGTAATTCTGACATCATTGCAGTTTGCATGAAATTTAATACTGCTTTTTTATCACCTGTTAATTCATTCGATATCTCTACATCAGAATCTTCATCACTAAAATGAACACATATTATATAAATTAAAACATTACATTGACAGAAAAATCAATTGTATATTACCTATCAAAAACTTTATTTTTATAAGTAGCTTCATCAGAGTCAGCATCACCATCATCATCATCATCATAATCTTTTCTAGGCTTTTTGTTTTTTGATTTGTGAGAACTTTTTAATGGTCTCTTTTTATTATTTTGTAACTTGTTTTTTGCTAGATCCAAATCCCAATTGGTGTTGTTTAATATTTCTTGAATTTTCTATAAAATATTAACAATAATATTGTAACTATTTCTTTCAATAAATATTTATTCTTTTAAAAAAACATTTTTATGTAAATATATATATATATATATATATATATTAAACTATTACATCTGTGTCATGATTTGGATGTAATTTAATCAGGTACTGCAATTTTCTATCCTTCTCTTTGGTTTCATCTCCATCTGAGTCGGATGTTTTCAACTTGATGGGTGATCCTACATCGCTATCACTGTCTTCAATGCGATTTACTACTTTTCTACGGATTTGAGTATCTGAGCCTACTAGATTACTATCGTCATCAGCTGAAAACAAATAATTTTTTCTTAATTTCATTGAACATTTTTTAAATTTTCTATTCGTAAGGATAATATTTTTGATGAATAAAATAATATTCAAATTTTTATATATTTTATATTTTTAAAAGTCAACGACTTATTAAAATAGGGTTACAAACGTGAATAATGATTTAGAATAATGACTTTGTTCACCAAACATTTGAATAAGGCCAAAAATAGCAATTCTAAAGGAAAGAATAATAATTATATTTCAAATGTAGAGAAAAAGAAAAAATTTTAAATGAAATAAAAAAAACTTACACATTTTGAGTTTTTCAATTGGTTTTTTCTGAAATCGAAATCTTCGTAAATTATTTGAAAGATTTGGACTCAATGTGTCCTGTTTATCCAAATTCGAATCGGACATTGCATTAATACACTTGTTCACAATAAGATCGACGCTTGTACATACACATTTTTATATATTTATTATAATGTAAGTACTAGATGTTTCGAAAAATCAGTCTTCTGAGGATTCTCTATTGTACTGGCTGTAAAACATTATAAGAGTGAAGGTTAGAAGCAGGTAGAAAACGAACGAATAAATATATGTATACATATACCACAGAACGGTAAGGTCGAAACTACAATGCAGTAAGAAAAACGTTGGTTTCTTGAAAAATTTTTCATCCCCTATATGAAAAAGCAATACACTGAGTAAGCAATTATGCTAAAAAATATTTTTCACAGAAATGATTTTATAAAATTTATTGTGAATTTTGAATATTTTACGTTATTAATTATTTTGCAATGATTAAAAACCATGTATATGTACTTTATCAGCCATTTGAAAATGAATGTTAGTGTAAAACATTCTCTTCAATTTTATGTTACGCTTACCGGAAATGTCCTAATCCTGAAGAAAATGACAGTACTTGGGATGTTGCAAAAAATAACTTGAAATCAAAAATTTGAAATTTACTAAATATATTCTTTTTTTTATTTCTCAAAATAAATAAAAACTAAAGTCACCAAGGTTTTAAAATAAATATTTAAGTTTAAAATTGAACATGTAAATTATTATTATTATTACTTGATCCCAACCATTCAATCTAGTATTTCCGCTATCTATACCGCCATTAGAACGTTTAAAATCTGGCAACGTTTACTACAAAGTATAGAATTAAACGGCGTCATAACAATCAGTACACTCGGCTTCATTAATGCCTGGTGTATCCTTGGAGAACAATTACCGACCGCAAGTATGATTTTTATTTACATTGAGTTTCGAATCTAGAATTTTTTAAGCTTTGGCTAAACTCAAAAAGCTATAAAATTTGTGATTACATTCCAAATATGATGCTTTAGTATGAAAAATAATTTTTTTTATTATTAGAACGGTTGAAAAGTCTGCCGTAAATAATAATAATCAATGAAAATTTCTTAAGAAATTAATAAATTATAAATTTCTATTATCATGTTTGCACGGCCATCTTAATACCGAGACATGCAAGATAAATAACTAACTACTCACTTTTTAACGAATTTCTGTTAATTGTTGTTGATTACGACATAACTTTGTACCCTACTAATACGAAAAAGAAATTTTTTACATACTAAAACATAATATTTTTAATGTTATCTTAATTTTTATACTTTTTTCAGTTTAGCCGAAGTTAAAAAAAATTCTAGATTGGAAACTCAATATAAAAAAAAAAATCATACCTGCGTAACAAATATACATTCATACATATATTTTGTCGATATATACTAAAAAGGAGCATTTTTATAAAAGTCACCGGTATATTAAAATACATTATTGTATATATATATATTATATATTACGTAGTGTACATGATTGAATATGTATTTGATAGAAATTTCACTTCAAAACAAACAACGACGCCGCTAAAAAGTTATTATCACGTGTGTAATATAGAATTATTTTGATGTTATCATTGTAAATGAGTTAAATTAATGTTATTATTTGGCAAATTTCAATGAATATTTTTTTTTAAATATAAAAATTTACTGCTGCATAATTGTTTATGAGTGTAATTCGAACGACATGGATTCCCCATCTACTCAAGTATTAGACGATAACGATAGTTCTTCTTCAAGATCATCAGAATCATTGCAAAAAACACCAAAAAGAGTATATCAGGTAATCTTTTAATTATCTATTATTAATAAATTTTTATAAAAATTATAATTAGTTAAATTAAAATCTCTTGATTGCATGATAAATATTTGCGTTATATTTTCTGTTACGTTTTTTTTGTTAAGGTTGCGACTCTAACAGTGGGAAACAAAAAATATCCGATCTTTGAAGGAATCAACAAAGTGGGAAGACATTTAGATAATGATATTTGCATTAATGATCATGTATGTACTATTATTTTATTACAATATGAACTTCTTATTTATTACAATTTCCGTTACTTATTTATGGCAATTGATTTAAAAAAAATTATATCTCGAAAGATAAAACACAAAAAAACATAACTTAATATTCCATTTAGATAACTAAAGTTCAACTCGTTTTCCATTGACTTTGCTTTCATCAAAATCAATGCTGTTCCAAAATTCAATATTACCAAAGTTGGTTTCAGAGTTCATTTCTAATTTTCCTGGACCTTTAATATGTAGATAAACTAATTTATCTTGAGATGGATTGATTGAAGTCCAGTCAAGACCGACATTTGGTGTTCTAAAATAAGCAATATTTTATGCTTAAATTATCAATAACTTTTAATTAATTATAAGCTTTTTATTTTTTATACGTACCCATTAATAGCGTAAGATACCCATATGTCAAGCAATTGTCGTTGCATGGCTCGATCTTGAGAAGTTGTAGTTGGATTCATAAATGGAGAACCGACGACGTAGTAAGGATCATCGCCGTGAGCAACACCTAAAAATAGTTTAAGATAATATTATAACTAAGTTCTTTGAGAAGAATTTTGTTAATTTTCAATTATTTTATTATTAAAAGATACTTAATTACCAAAGTCCATATTAGTTCTAGTCATAGCAGGTCCCAAACTTTCCGCACCCTTGTAAGTAAAGTAATAATATTTAATGGGGCTTTTGTTAGCCCTAGACATAAGTTTAACAGCCTTCAAGCTACCCATCACATATAGACGATCACCGATCGCGTGAACGACAGATAAAGCAGTTGTTTTATCAACTGGCTTATCTCCAATATAATACTGTCTAATTTTTGTCCAACTTCAATATGTTTTCCAAGAGGAATTGTGTAGTTGTAATCGAAAAGGAATGGTGCAAGAGAGTCCCAACGAGCATCCAGTTCCTTTAAAGCAACATTGTCAGCACAGAAATCTAATAGAACAATTAAAAAAAAAAAGTATAACTACTGAAAAAAAATTGAAAAAAAAAACAATTTGATATAAAAAACTATTAATTAACCAGCTCCGGGATAAAGTCCTTCTTCAGGAACTACACCAGTAATCCAAGGAACATCGTAAGCTTCTCCATCCATAATAATTTCTGCTGGTATTTTGGTGATAAATGGAGATTCTGCAGTTGATTTTTCTACAACAGGCCCGAATGGAGTCATTGGATTAAAAAACCAAGGCATAAAGTCCATATCGGCTCTTGCGATTTGTCGTGCTGGTCGTGTTCTAAGACACTTCACCATTTCTTCAACATTTGAAGTTGAGCAGCCTACGATAGAAGCTAATTTTTTAGCTTTTTCTGGAGCAGCTTCAGTTATAGCCCAAGGATTGAGTGCATTTCCACTAAAAGAAAGTCCACCTAAAAAATTGTGGAAAATTAATTGAAAGTTTTCAAAAGTTTTAAAAGTAAATACATTAATGAGTCTATTTTTAAAACAGTTAAGCATACGTTTAAAAAGACCCTTGCTGAGTGGAGATAAATATTGATAGTGAACACTAACACCTCCAGCACTTAATCCAAAAAGAGTGATTTCATCAGGATTTCCACCGAAGCCTTTGATATTTTCTTTTACCCAACGTATAGCCATATTCTGGTCTTTAAGACCCATGTTACCGGAAATATGTTCATCACCAGTACTTAAAAATCCTATAATGGATTAAAAGTAATAAATAAATTGTTATTAAATAATAAATATCAATAAACTAATTACTCACCAAGAGGACCAACACGATAACTGAAAGTGACAAAGATGACATCCCTGTCCATAATATAATCTGGCTTGGTAAATTGACCATCACGAGCTTCCATATGCCATTGGAAAGCTCCCCCATGAATCCAAATAATCACCGGTAAGGGTTTAGCACTTTCAAGAACTGGTTTGTAAACATTTAAATATAAACAATCTTCAGACCCAACTATTCTCTCTTTTGCATCCAGAGGAGTATGAATATATTGAAGACATGGAGATCCTGTCTTAATTGCAACTATGTCTTCATTCCAAGCTGGAAGCTTTTGAGGAGGCTAAATAATGTTCATAAGTTAATACATTATATAAAAGTATGTGAGTTCAATAAATAAATAGTTTGAAAACATTTATTTCGACAATTTATAAATAAAATTAATAACATGGATTTGATATTTACTCTGAAACGGAGTTCCCCAACAGGTGGTTTAGCGTATGGAATCCCTTCAAAAGCTATATACTTTCTACCATTAAGTGAATGATCGTAAAATCCTCGAATTCCTCCCAACGGAGTTATCACTTTTGGACCATCTGAAGTTTTATCGATGTCCAAAGTAGCGAAAGCCAGAGGCAAGAAACAAATCAAAAGAATTTGATTCATTTCGAAAACTCTGACTGTTTTCCACTGTAGGTCTGTCTTTTATTTATCCCTTTATATAGTAAGCCAAGTTTAAGTTATCCACTATTTAAAATGATAGTAAACCACTATCTCTATTGGGGTTGATGCTCTTTCAATTATTTATTATGATAAATTTAATTAATTACATAATAAAATAAATGATATGAATAAATTTTATGTATTTTAACATTTATTTTTAATAAAATACAAGTAATTAACGAAATTTACGTTGATTTATGAAGTTAATCATGGCATATTGTGAACTTTCTATTATGATAACTTGAAAGTTATCATTATTAACCTAGACCTCTCAGAACATTTAAAAAATATTGGCTTTATATAAAATTGTCAACATCTTAATAGTATTATCAGTAATTTAATAAATTAATAAATCATTATTTGTTATTTTACTTTTACAGAATGTTTCAATGTATCATGCAGAAATTGAAGCTGATGCAAAACATGCCTTCATTTGTGACTTACGATCAACTAATAAAACACGAATGAACGATGTAAAGTATTTATATAGTTTAATTTAAATAATTCATACTTTATGATAATTAGTAAAAACAAAAATCTATTATTTTTTACACATCTTAACATGATAATTTTTGTTAGTTTAATAAAATTTGAAATAAAATGAATTAATAGGCTCTACTAATATGCTAAAGTTATAAAAATTTTAAAATAACAAATGTAATATTAGAAAACTACAATAATTTGTTAAATTTATAAAGATAATATTATAACACATTATATAAATTTTCTTTTCAGGAGAAGTTAAAACCTGATCGTTTTTACCAATTATTAGATGGTACCAAATTAACATTTGGTATTTTAAATGGTACATACTTACGTTTACGAGATGATGAATCAATTATTATTCCTTCAACACCTGAACCTGGATTAAAACTACGAAGAGAGTCAAATAAAAATTCATCAAGACCTAATACTTCATCCACCGGTGATAGTGATGATTCTGTAGTTTTGGGGACACAAGAGACTCCAGAAGCTGTTTTTGTTAAGCCTTTAGTACCTAATCGAACTATAAATTCAAAAGATACTAGCAATAATGACAAAATAAACATTAATGAATCAGATAAATCTATATATGATGAAGAAACTCAACGTACTAATAAATCTATTGAAAGTCAGAGTTTTATCCATGAATGTGCTACTCAAAAATATGATTCCAAACAATCTGGTAGAAAAAATATAACTACGGATAATAGACAAAAGGCAAAAAAAAACATCATATCAGTAAAATCCGAAATTTTTGATAAAGAAACACAAAAATATCGTGATAAAAATAACGATACAGATGAAAGCCAAATTTCAACGCAAAAATTAGCAAGTGAACAAAATGATCAAGTTTATGATGCTGAAACCCAAAAAATTTCTGTAAACCAACAAGATAATGATTTGGAAAATGCGATGACACAAAAATTCAATAATAAAAAAATTTATGACATCGAAACACAAAAACGAAATGAATTTGAAAATCAAGATAATAATAACGTGTACAATATGGCAACACAAAGATTCCAACCTTTGAATATTAGGAAAGAAAAAACAGAAATTTATGATGCCGAGACTCAACAGTCGAAAGAGAAATCAAGTAAGTTTAAAAATCAGAATGTAACAACACAAGTATTAAACGCACCGTTTCAAAAAGTTGAAATGGTTGCAGAAAGTGATGAGGAACATGAACAAGATAAAGTACCTGTCACTGATATGGTCTTAAGAAGTAATAAAAATGAAGAGATTATGACCACCAATAAAAAGGTTTGTATTAATAATATTTCTAGTAATAATAAGTCTAATAATGCATCTCAAAACCAATCAAGTCCGATAATAAACGAAATAGCAGTTGAAAACATTCAAAATTCATCAACTTTAATACCTGATCAATCGTGCTTAATTGTAGCAGAAACAGATGATGAGTCTGAAACTGATGATGAAGGCGTTTTTTCTAATTTTTTGCAAAAAGAACATTCTAATGGAAATCGTAATATAAATATTACTACTAATAGTGAAGTTATAACTGATATGAATTTAAATAATGAAAATATAAACAATGACGTTCATTTATTTAATAGAAATTTTGGAAGTCCAGTTCTTGTAGATTTAGATGAAATTTCAGAATCACTCGGTGCTAAAAATGAAGATAACATTGTAGATGATAGTGATAATGAAATGTATATGACACCAAATCAGATTATGTCACCAACAACATCGAATCTTCATTCTAACATTCAAGTAAATTCTTATAATAATGAAGCTGCTACTCAACGAATTGTATCTCCTACACTGATACAAATGAGTAAAAAAAATTTTTTAGCGGCTACTCAATCTATAATTGCAACTCAAGTCTTAATAGAAACCCAAAAAGTTAATTTAATTGAACGTAAAACTTATTCATTAGAAACTCAAATTATAGATACACAGGTACGAGAAATAAATGATTTTGAATCTCCTGAAAGAAAACAAGTGTTGAAACTTACAACTCAATCAGCTGATACACAAATTTTAGAAACACAAAAAGCTGATGAGTTTTCTGAAAATAATGATGAAGAAAATAATAAAGGTTTGAGTAATAATTATGATAATGAATCAACACAGTTGATAGAATTCGAAAATGATACTATGACAGAAAATATGCTAGAAGAACAAGAAATTCAAATTGAAAATGAGATTAACAATGACTGTGATATTAATGAGAAACCATTAAAAACTTTGAGATTGAAAAAAAATAAAATTTCAAAAAATTGTGCAGAGTGGCGAATAAGTTCATCATGTAAAATTGGTTGTAATGATGATCGTTTTCAACAAGAATCTCAGGAAATATCAAAAATTGAGAATAATGATGAAAGTAATGAAAATGATGAGGAAATCAATCATATAAAGGATGAAAATGGATATTTATCACAAAAAAAAATTGATAATAAAGATCAAAAGTATACTTTAACAACTCCTATCTCAATGAACAAAATAAATTTATCATTAAATCAAAGTACAAAAAATAGATTTAAAAATAAAAAAGATAAGAATCAAGAAATTCACACTTCTAATTACGAGGATAACGATGTAGTATTAAAACATTTGGACAGTATGTTTGGTGAAGTAGCTTATGACGATATGGTTGAACCAACTCAGCTTCTAACTCAGCAACTTGTAGATATTTTAAAAACTCCCGAAAAATCCGATAATGTAGATACAGTAGTAGATAATATTGCTTTTCAGAAATTTGGTGGTCAAAAGAATGGAAAAAATACGAAGAAAAAGGAGAAAGAGACATTGGGTAATTATTCTCGTGTTGATGGAGAATCTCAAGAACTTTATTTTGCTCATTTGAACTTCAAAAGGAAGCGAAAAGCAGTTTTTGACAGTCAAGATAGTTCTGATTCAGAACGCAGTAACAAATATCAGAAAAATTCTTCCGGTTTAAAGAACGATGAGCCTTGTCTATCTGGATTTGTTGATGGGATAGCTATAGTTTGTGAGAGACTCGATTGTCAAGGTAGTAATACTATTTTATACTCATTATTATATATTTGGAATTTTTTTTGTTTGTCTGTAATGGTTAAAATAGTCCAAGCTTTAATTTTGCTTCAAGTAATGTGCATATACTATAATCATATGAAAAAGTAAATTCTTTGAAATGACTATTTTTTAGGACTTGATGAAACTATAAATCATAAGGAAACAAACGATGTGAATGATGATATTTTAACAGGATTACCAGAAGTTAATTTAAACGGCGCTGGCTTTTCTCCACGTAGTCATGCTTCTCTAAATTCATCAGATGAAGATATTCCAAACAATGAAAAAAAAGTATTAGAACAACCAAAAATGATCTCAAAAAGTAGCGGTACCAAAAAATTGGTTTTGTCTATACAATGTGATAATAAAATAAATGATAATGATGAGGTCAATAGAAAAAAAACCAAAATTGCGACTGTTAAGCTCTCACAATATGATAAGAAAGAAAAATCATCAGAAAATAGTGGAAAATTATCAAAGTCAGATGAACAAATTGAATTAGGTAATATATTAACAATCAAATACTTTTTTTAGTTTTTTAAATTTGTTAACAAAAAAAAAAATAATCTACAATTCAATTACAGATCAAAAGAGAATAAAAAAGACACCAGAACGAAAAGGGCAAATGAATCAAAGTCAAGTTTCAAAACCAGAACTAAATTCTGAAGTAATTACCTCTGGTTATAATTCTAGTTCTGAATCTAAAGAAGTAAAAATTCATGAAAAACGTAAGGCTATTTGTGATGTATCACAGTCTTTAATTGATTCTAAGAAGAAAAAACCAGTTGTAAGACTAGACAATAGTCTGAATATTTCTTTGCGCCAAGAATCTAAACGTAAGAGTTTCCAAGTTCATAAGTATTGTGTTATTTTTACTGGAATAAATCCTGAAGATTATATTGAATCAATAAAGAGTCTAGGTAAGTGTAATATATAATATTAGAGCTTAAAATTTTTCTCAAATTATAAAATAACGAATGATTTATAAATCATAAATTGTAGGGTAACCAGATTTTGGTCGGCCATATGTAAACGAGTAAGAGTTAGAAATATGAAAAACAATCTGTCAAATCGCTTTAGACTTTTAATTTCGGATATTTTATTTATTCTTCAACTAATCGTCCTTATCTCGTATCATTCCATAAATTGTTGTTGCGCGAATCTTTTCCTATAGATATTTTCTTATTTTATCTATTTATTTGCCTAAAACTCGTGCGCAAAGGTCCATATACTTTTATATATCTATATATTTCCGCTCGAGGCGCCTTAATATGAATACAATTGATTGTTCGTTCAATATTAATAGAGAGAGAGAGAGAGAGAGAGAGAGAGAGAGAGAGAGAGAGAGAGAAAGCAGTATATTGACAATAAAAGATTTCTCTAATTTTAGGAATGTATAAGAATAAGATCTTTTTAACAATACAAAGTTATACACCCAAAAATTTCAAAATTAGATATTATTATAAATAACAATTCAAGAGTTAATATTATATTAATTTGATTTAATTTTTTTTTAATCACGAAAATCATTAGTTGTAGGACATTGAAGTAACTTATTAAATGAAAATACATATAATATCTTTATTCGAATACAAATGATCATGCTTTGAATTTTTTTATTTCAAATTGAAAAATCAATGCAAGAATACTATTACAGGTTACAATTCATAGTTACGAAGTAAGTGTAGTTTAATGTTATTTGTGTTAATTTTTAGGTGGAACAGTAACAGATGAACCTTCAAAAGCAACTGTTTTGGTTACCGACAAAGTTAGAAGAACATATAAATTTATTTGCGCAATTTCTAGAAGTATTCCAATTGTTTCTATAAAATGGATTGATGAATGTATTGAAAAAGATGAATTTTTGGATACGGATAAATATATCTTGAAGGATGATATATCAGAAATTAAATTTGATTTTAAATTGAGTGAAAGTTTAAAAAAATCGAGTGAAGGTTTATTATTACTGGGATATACATTCATCATTACTCCTAAAATTGTTAATCCTAGCATTAAGGACCTTAAAGGTAAATAATAGTTTTTCAAAACATCTTCATAAATATTAAATTAAGTTATCGTTACAGATATGATACAAGTAGCAGGTGGAAAATCATTAATAAGAATGCCAAGACTTTGGATTCCAAATACAGTGATTGTTGGTTGTGATATTGATATCCCGAAAATTAAAGAAATGGTAAAAAAAATTCCAAAAAATATTGAAGTGCCAGTTGTTACTACAGAATTTATTCTTTCTGGAATACTGAAACAAAAATTGGAACCAGAAGTCCATAAGCTTTACTAATGAATTTTCAATCACAAATTCTGTATTCTTATAGGTTTTAAATTTTGTAAGAATTAATGAACAGTAAGAATCAATGCTAAAAAAAAGTTTTAGAGTATTATTAACTACAGTACTCGAGTTCAAAAATATTTTTCTAAATTAAACTACAAATGTTATTGTTAACAATGTAATCAAATAATAATTTATTATAGTTACATTGTCTCTTACTTTTTTTATGTAATGATAACTATGTTTTCAAAATAGTTTTGAAACATGTTTACTAAAAATATATAAATACATATATATATATATATACATATAAGTCTAATGTTATTTACCTGGTCTATATTTATTAATCTATTATTGAATTATATTATTTTGTTAAGACACTACTAGATTCAGTAATAAATTTTATTCTAATGTTGCTTTTTAGAGTGTTTTATGAGAGATTATACTTCAAGAGTTAGCTTATCTTAAATAACGTTTAATCTATTATTTTTCTGGTTATACAATTATATTTTGATAAAAGAAAATAGTTGTATTAATACGAGTGTTTTATTACTTTAAAGTTTGATTTTTGTTTTTATTTGCTATTAACTGCTCAATAACGCAACCATTATTTATTTTGAAGCAAAAAAATTTGTCAATGCTACGTTTGAAGTGAAAAAAAAAGTTTAATATAAAGCAGGCGGAAAATTGAAATACAATGAAAAGAACCAAGATTTAATCAATTTTTATTGAAGTAATACTTTTTGTACATCAATAACTTGAGTAAAAACTATTCCTGATTTATTCGTCATACAAAAAAGATATTCTACAATACTCACTAATGTATAAAGTATGATAATAATAACTGGTAAAGAAAATGGCCACGGATTGTGTTTGTTTAATGTTACAATTATTTTCAGAAATTTAAAAATTAATTAATTATACTGAAAATTAAAAAATTAAGTCAATGTTTATCTAATATTAATTTTGAGTAGATGAACGTTGAACTCGTAAGTAAAATGATTAAACAGGTGTAGCGATGATTCGTGAATAAATGCTTGTTCAGGCAGCTTTCGTAGCGGATGATCAGCAATGTTTCCTTCTTCTTTTTATTATAATATATTTTATGAGTACTTCTAAGGTTGTTTTGTGATTATATTATTCACAGCCGAGATTCCGTTACGAAGGAGATGAACTCACAAATAACACGACTGTAACAAAAAAAATAGAACAAAATGTCAATAAACATAAAATTGCGACGTAATTTCCACGACCTTGGCTGCCATTTTGGCAGTGTCATGACTTTAGAATAAAATATTTATCGTAGAATTTTATTAATTAAATTTGATTACCTTTAACGGCAGTCTATTATGCTTTATTCTTCACAATTTGTCGTTTATTGTGTTCGGAATTCATTAGTTTCGTAGCGATTTTTCTAGAATGACCACAAGGGTCTGGATGATTTGTGTGCTCGTTTGCTTCGCGTTTACTACGTTGTTTACCACCGTGTCCAGTAAAAATGTGTTTATCGTAGTCGTAGTTGAAATGTTCGTACTCATCAATATATGCCTCAGACATGTTTCACAAGAGATTCAATAAAAAGTTCTTGAAGAAAAAAATTTGCGTCAGACGCTTCTTATACAACTCATTCAATACGTGTGTTTACTGTTATGCGGCACGACCTTTCGATTCAATATATACCCTCTGATACACAACTGCGCATGCTCCTACTTGAGATTGTATACCCAATTGAATTTTTCTCTTTTATTTTCAATCATCACAACAACTCGATAAAAAATTTTGCATACTACAAAGACGTGAAGGAAATTTAATTTTTGAAATTTAAGAATGTATACAATTAATACTTTATGATATGTATACTTGATGTTTTATCGCAATATTAGAATTAACACTGGAATGTTCGGTACACGCATGCTCCAATGTTCATTTATACGTGAGAAAAGGCATGATTATTCTAGAAATGTTTTGATACTGTAAGTTGTTATGTATCGGCCATTAAAAATGGCCTTTTATACATAAATTGTTTAATTGGACTGTTTAAATAATTTTCTGAAACGATTAATTTTCATAAGATGTTTAAATGGAGAAAAATCAATCCAAAAAAGAGGTGATATTTTCAAAAAGAAAAAAAAAGAATAATTATAATAACATATCTACTTTTAATTTATTAAAGATATAAGGTAAAAGTTAATATATGTATATCAGTACTTTGAAATTAAATTATAACATTAAAACTGTGAAAATTAAAAAAGTTTATTGGCCCCTAATATGAATAAATACATATACATATATTATTTTTCATTTCTGAATATTTATTATTATGTAAACGAATTAGTGTTGTATCATCAACTGAGCTTATATATAGTGTTCTAATTAATTGGAAGTAATCAGATGAATATAGGATCAACAAAGGTGTATATAAACATAAAATGATAAATGAATAAATGGAATAATATGAACAAAATATGTTCACATTGTAAGTCACTACATACGTATACATATAAAAATATTGTCTTTTCAGTCATTTAATATATGCATATAAATGTGAATGTAAATACAAGGATTTTGTCTTTCATGTACTTATTAATGTATGTTCATAAAAGTCATCTTTGAGTCATTATTTATACAATTGTTATATTGCTTTTAGCGATAAAAATTATAATGTAAAAAAAAATCATTTTAAAATGATTCATAAAAGAGGCTTAAATCTAATCAATTGACATTCAAGAAATTACAATGAATATTTAGTATCGTAAATTGCAATGAAATATATGTATATTCGATTCTCTTCTCATTGTTCATTATATCATGCTAGTTATCATTAACAATACATTGTGAACCATGTTATCAATCACTTTTATTTTTTTTATAATACATTAATTTTTTAAACTTGAAAATATTAAAATATGGTATAATATATTTTTACCATTATAGTATATTTTTGTACATATTCATATCATAATGTAGTCTTTACGTGAATTAATTTAATCCATTCAATTTTTGGAAATATAACATGTAATAATTTCACGTTTAGGTTAATTGACCTTTGAGTATGTATGTAGAACAGCTCCAATCAAAACATTGAATTTATTGATCTCTAGAAACAGGTGTTGATAACAGTTTACATGAATAAAAATTTCTTTGATATTCAGAATAATACATAATTAACTATTCAGCAAAAATAATGATAAATATTTTAGCAGTTCTACTACATAATAGTGTATTAGTATGATACGATAAACAACATATTTTGAAAGAATAATCACGTTTAAGTCGATATGAAAATTAACCAATATTAAGGTCATTCATTTTATTTCAATAAAACGATGTCTCAGAGAATAATGTTTTCATACTTAACGAATTTCTAACCGATATTTAGCTTGTTTTATAAATATTTATCTAAATAATTAATTTTTATTTTCAAAACGATGTTTTAAATGATAAAATATTTTATTAATTTTATTCATTTGGTAGTTAAATAGTACATTCGTTGATGCCAGAAACATCTCCAGCTCTTCGATAATCTGCATTTGCATATATAGTGCCATTAACTTGAATCAATGCACATACAACACTTCCTCGACCCCTGTATCTAGATGTTATATGGCCTAATTTTTGTAGACCCTCAATAATCGGTTTCATAATACCATACTGATATTCAAGTTTCATTGGTAACAGCTGATGATGAATTCTAGGAGCATCAACAGCTTCTTTAACTGTATCTTTTATCCATAAAATTCTTGCTATTACCTTTAAAAAAATTCAAAATTTAGTAATTTTGACAATTCGTGTTTTTATGAATAATGATTAATACCAACATAAGCTATAGAAGTGATTATTTTTGTACCACCAGCAGCACCAATAACCACTTTAATATTTCCATCAGAATCAACAAGAAGTGATGGTGCCATAGATGATAAAGGTCTTTTACCAGGTTGAATTAAATTTTCCTTGTCGCTACTAGAAAGACCATAATAATTTACAATTGATGGAATCACAAAATCATCCATTGCACTATTTAATAAGATTCCGGTTGATTCACTTACAATACCGCTTCCAAAGCTGATATGGAATAATGAAACATTCATCAATAAATGTTTTATTGTATTTATTAGACATATATACTGTATATTATAATCTATGATGTTGAAATTGAACTAAAATTTAAATAAAATCAAAAAACATGTTGTCTGTCATTTCTAAAATATGAATTTATTACCTTTATGTAAAATGGAAATGAAAAAAAATAGTATATTCCATTATGGATAGAACTTACTATGTATTCAGACTACTTGTTAGAGAAACAGCATCACCAGATGGAGAAATAACAGAAATATGAGAAGTTCCATGATCTTCCAAAACGTGTGTCTCTCCATGATAATGTTTCGGATCATTCCATGTTTTACTATCGTCAATTTGTGTCATTATCAATTTAGCATAATGCTTTGATGTTAAATTACCAGCAATCTGTATGAAAGAAAAAACAATTTTTGAATAAGTAAAAATTTTACTAATAATGTATTATTTTATTTATTATAATGACCTCTGTCATATTAACATAGTCAGAATCACCCATTTTACTTCTTAGTGCAAATGCAAATTTAAATGTTTCTATTATTTTGTGATATGTGTTAATTGTAATATTATTTTCTGAAAAACTTTCTCTAGTAAAATTAAATTCGTTAAGTACATTAAGAATAAATATCAAAAGTCCTCCACTACTCGGGAAATTTGATGTGTACAAAATACTTCCATCCGAAAAACGTGTTTCTAAAGTATTTTGCCACTTTGCAGTATAATTTTGTATATCGTTTATCGTTAAAATACTACCTAATTTTCGCAAATCGTTAATTAACATGTGGCCCAGTGATCCATTATACAATTCATTTGCACCTTTATTTGCAATAATTTGCAAAGTATCACAAAGATTTCCCAGTTTTATTAAACTTCCTGGAGGTTTGAATTTTTGAGTTGATTCATTAAAAAACCGAAATCTGTAAATTTAATAGGAATAATTTTATCATTTTATCATTATTGAGATATGAAAGTAGAGTTTTACCTTAATGTAGGATCAGTTTTTGTACTATGAGTTCTAAACAAGTCATCATACTGAATTTGGTGTAAACTATACCCATTTCTACAAAGCTTTATAGTATCATTAAACAATTCAACCCAAGGTAATTTTCCGAATTTCTGATGAGCTTCCCAATATCCAGCCATTTCACCAGGGACAGCTATTGAAAGAGGGCCATTTATTGATGCTTTCCCATTTTTATTTTTATACATATTCGTATGTGCTGCTAACGGAGCACGATCTCGTGCATTCAAGTTATAAGCTTTTCCAGTAGCTTTATTATATATCGTCATGAAAAATCCACCTCCAATACCCATGTTTTGCATATTTCCCAAGCCATTACAGATTGCTGTTGCAATAGCAGCATCAACTACAGATCCATTTCTTTCAAGAATTGATCTATAGAATTATTTAATAACTCTCAAGTTTTTTGTGTATTTAATTAACGATTTCAATAAAATTGAAATGTGTATAACACTTATAATTTGCTTAACTTAAACATATTCATTTATGCTCATTGTATTTCGAATACTTACTTTCCGATTTCTGCACACCTATTATCATCAGCACAAATGGCGCCACCCCCTCTAAATTTTCGTAATTTACTATGAGACGGAGGTATAGGTACTTCAACATCTGGAACTTTTTTGATATTATCTTCATTGATGATCAATTTTTTTCTTTCTGATTGAGTTAATATAATAAAGATTATAACCACAATTGTATTTAATAAAATAATTCCACCAATTCTTTTTTTCTTTGAGAATCTGTAAAAATTACAGTTCAATGATATATTAGAAATACACAGAAGAATATTAAGATTGGGTCAAATCATTCATTAAATAGCTATAAAATGTGAAAACAAATATGAAGAATGTTGTTTAATAAAACTAATGTAGGAATCGATTAATTTTTATTATATTATGAATAATGAAATATTTGTACACAAGTTAATAAAATTTAAATGATCAGTTGAAAAATCATTTTTTTAAGTAAACTACTACTTATTAGGAATAATATTTATTTATGGTTTTATTCCTTTTTATAATTAAAAGAAAGATTTTATCAGAAATAAAAGCGACGTTTTTCTAAAAAATAATTCATAAAATTTCAATTTAATGCATTTTATATCAACGTTTAATGTAAAACTCTTTTTAATTCGATCCAATCATCTTAATGGTATATTGTACAATAATGTTTCAAGTATTCTCTAATATATTATGAGCTCGCTCTAATACATTAAGACTACATCAAGAATTGTGAATGGAATATTGTTAATTTAGTTAAAAGATATTTTCTCACATATTATTCTGTTGATTTCTATCTATTAGTCAAGTCTTATATCCATGATTAAGTAAAAATTCTAATATTTGGGTAAAAACAAATATTAAAATATATTTATTGGTGATAAATTTTTTTATCGTTTAAGAACTTTATAAAATTTGATATCGTTTTCTCACTGCAAGGTGCCTGAGTTTAATGTCAATTAGTGCAGTGATTTACTTTTGTTGATTTAAATATAGTATTAAAAAGGTAATTATTGACTTTTACAACCTATTGTTCAAATTACTGTCAATGTTTAATCTTAACAAGAAAAAAACGATTTATTTATCAATAAGTAAAGTTAATGATCTTTAAAAGTTAACAGTGAGCTCTCATCTTATAGGCTGTACTGATATTCTGAGTAAGTAAAGTATTTAATAATTATAGAATTGTAATTACTTAAATATTTTCAGTTGAAACAGTATTTATTGCAATTATAAATAAGAAAAGAAAAATTGCTATCAAGTATTGGACAAAATTATTGTTTATTTTTTTTTCGTTTAATAACAGCAGTGCTCTCACTTACATAGTTTTTTCATTGCCAACAACATTAAAAGATTTCCATCTATGAAAAGTGTATAAATGTGTAGCTGCTTGATTCTTATTATTTTCATTGAATAAATCATTATTAATTGTAGAGAAATGATGTTCGTTAGTAATTATGTTATGAGTAACTTGACTATCAGAAAGTTTATTTTTATGTAACACTTTTTTTCGTTTACGTATATTTTTATTTTTATTCATTTGATTAAAATATTTACTATTTGTATGTATTATATGTAAGTATGTATTTAGGTTACACACGAGAATTCGAACATTAAGGCTGGGCTGAAGTCAGAAAGGCGACTGATTCCCCCTATCCAAATATATGGGTTCGGGAAATTTCTAATTTCTTCGCCAATTTACGATTATTTCTATAAAATTAGGTACCAAATTACAGAAAAATTAATGCCGGACTGACGTAAATAACAATTTTTTGTATATAGTGAATATTTTTATTAAAAAAATTAGAAAGAATAATGAAAAAATTATGAATTGACTTGCCGCGCTTAAATTTCAAGATGGCGGCCACATCATTCAGATGAAAAATCACTAATTATTTCATTTTTTATACGTTTTTTCGCCCAAAATTCGTGTTTGCGTCAGTCCTTGCCACCTGTCTGAATGTCAAAAAAATCAATTCATAGTATAAAATTGAATAATTTAGAAATAATTAGAAATCTTGTATTCCAGATAATATTCTCCGGAAAATTAGTTTGAAAAAATTCCAATAGGTGACAGCATTATGCTCGCAGATGACCTCAGTCATCCATATTGAAAAAATGCTCAATCCGTATCCAGAACTGATGGTGCCCTGCATTTTGGCTAGTAAATTCTGTATGTGTGTGTACGGGTAATATATGTATGTGATGTAAACATAGTGTATCACTTTACAATGCCCTACACTTTGATGACTATTGCAGTTAGGATAAATAAAAATGATGATACTCATTTAACATTAATTAATATAATACCTGCAAATAACTTCAAATACATATACTCATCCATTATTATCATTTTTATTAGGTATAAATGTTAATCAAAAAGCTCAATTCCGAGTCGGCGTATCCAAGCATGTAGTATAAAAACAAATACACATAAACTCAATATCGAGATTATGCTGGCCATGTGGTTAGAGCGTCAGAGTTCTATTTTGCCGGGCAGGGTTCGATCCTAGTCATAATCACTTTTTTTTCTACTTTATTCGTTAGATTAGCATGTAATTATAATATTGACATGCCATAATTGATCCATTATAATGATTTGATTTTTTTTTCTCTTTACTCATTGAATTTATTGACACTAAGTCGGAAAATATTTGAACAGAGCCATAAACTTTTTTTTTGTATAAATACATTGATAATAGCCTGTGTTTAACAACTTATACATCTTTACATGTATTAACAATGTTATGTTATTAACAAGTTAATCATATTATTATTAACATTGAAAAGTAGTTTAAACAATCCGTGGCGAGTTCCGGCACTTCGCTGGCAAGCTCTACCCCCACTCTCTATGCCCAAGCCTGCAGCTTATAATTTTTGAGCATATATAAGCGTACTGAAACCATAACAGCTCAGCGGTTACAGCATCGGTCTTTTATTTTGCTAGGCAGGGTTCGATTCCAGTCATGGTAAAGTTTTTTTTTTCTCTTTTATTTGTTAGATTTGCATGTAATTATAATATTAACATGCCAAAAGTAATTGTTTACAACGATTTGATTTTTTTTTCTCAATTATTTATGTAATTTATCGACGCCGAGTCGGAAAACATATGAACAGGGTTATAAACACTTTTTTTACTATAGCTATATGAACGTAGCTTTTTTTTAAGCAATTTAGAAATATTTAGAAGTAGTTGAAATAATCCACGGGGATTTCCGGCACATCGCCGGCAAACTCTATCCCTACCCTTCGTACTCAGCCTGCATTATACAATTTATAAACATAAACATAATATCAGAGATGATGTGTTAGCTCTGTGAGTAGAACACCAAGCTTTCATTTTACCGATTAGGGTTCGATCCCAGTCATAGCCAATTTTTTTTTCCTTTTTTTTCATTAAAATTTATATAAATGCACTAATTGGTTGTTTATATAAGTTCAAAATCAATTCCTATTGTCTTTTAAAGACAACACTTTCGAAAAAAGGGAATTCATAGTAACTCGTTCCTCACCCTCAGCTTATTTTCAGAAAAACAAGTTGTTTTCCGTAATTAATTGGAAGAATAATTTAATAAAATATATGAATTAATTTATAATTATATAAAGTCACTTAAGCAAAAAAAAGAAAAAACAATTGCCTATGACTGGGATCGAACCCTGCCCAGCAAATAAAGATTGGTGCTCTAACCGCTGAGCTTTTATGGTTTCAATAATATTGAAGATGCTTAAAAATTATAAGCTGCAGGCTTGGGCACAGAGAGTGGGGGTAGAGCTTGCCGGTGAAGTGTCGGAACTCGCTGCGGATTGTTTAAAACTATTTTTATTGTTAATAAGTTGTTAAAAAAGGCTATTATCAATGTATTTGTACAAAAAAAGGTTAATGACCCTGTTCAAATATTGTCTCATTTGTCATCGATTGATTGAACAATAATTTTACATAAAAATTGAAATTTAAAACTCATTTTTGGCATGATAAAATTGCAATTACATGCAATTTGAATTAAATTTTCCGCAATTGGAATCGAACACCGTTCGGTAAAATAAATGTCGAATCTTCTGACTACAGAGCCAACATATTTTCATTTGCTTTGTTTACGTTTAGATATCATAGCTTCAGGCTTGGTAACAGAGGGTGGGGGATGTGCTTGCTCGTCAACTGTTCGAACTCGCAGTCTTCTCTGAAAATAAGACGGAGATAGATAGATATATTCTGTGCTCTGTCTTGCTCGAAACAGATTATTCAAAAATTTGTAAATTTCTTGGTGCCCTAAGGCTCCCTTTTTGTAGTGGATCCCTGAAAATTATCATTTTTCGAACGATTTCCCGGTTACCTACTCAATTTCAGTTGATGTCAAGCTTCGGCCTTTTGCCGCACAACACGAGGGCGTAAAGTCAACTCCGGGAAACTTTCTGACTTCAGCCCAGCCTTAAGGCTGGGCTATACACTCGTGTTCATTAATGCCTTCCCATTACCATGGGAGAAATTACCGACCGAGACGGTTTTTTTTTATATGAATTATTCCATCTATTATTTTTCAAATATTCTATGACTAAATTCTCCTCCGGCCCTGCCCCCTCTTAAAAATAAATTTTCCTACTCCAAAACATCTTATTTCCCCTAATTTTAATTATTTCCCCTCATTTTTGACAGCTAACAAACATTTTTGTTTATAAATAATAAACAGTGTTACAGTGTCAATTTTATAAATGTAAACATAACTCGTGTTGACATGTATTCGAGAGGCGAGTTATCATAGGATATCTAAAGATTTTTGTAAGTAATTATCAAATTTAAATTTAATTTAATATTACAGGTTATAATGTAATTAAAATATAATTGATATCAATTATATTTTATTATGATTTATCTCAATTTTAGAGCCGGCTTTCAAGTACTCTTTGGAAATTAAGCGATAGTAGTCAAAAAATTGATCAATTATGTGGTACATTCCAATGATAATAAGAAAAAAGAAGCAAAAAGTTATAGTACAAAAAAATGATTAAAGGTGAATACAAAAAGGAGATAATTGTGTTATTATCGAAGATGTTATTATCAGTGGAAGTAGTATGTTTAGAAAAGACTTAACTCCAGAAGGTTTGAACGTTACTAAAGCATTAGTAATTATAGACCGAGAACAAAGTGGCAAAAAAATATAGAAAATGCTGGTATTAAAGTAAGAAGTTTGTATACTCTTACCAAGTTAATGAAGTATCTTTTTGAAGCTGTTAAAATTACTTTAGAAACGATTAAAAATGTTTCTCAATACATAAAAGAATATTCAGCGACATTGATAACATTGAATAAAGGTAAAAATTAATATAAATTTTAAAACATTCATAAAAATGAATGATTGATTTTTAAATATTTAATATGTTTACAGAATCATCACATAATCGTTTGATAATGGATTATGCATCTAGATCAAGCTTACTATGAATCAGCTGGCTGCCAATCTTTTCGAGCTCATGGGACAAATCTTTGATTAGCAGCTGACATGACAAAAACTAATGATATTTTAGAATTAGCTGAACTTGCTGGACCCCACATTGTTATTTTTAAAAATCCACGTAGACATAATTGATGATTTTTATGAAGCATTAAAACATAAATTTTTGATCATGGAAGACTAAAAATTTTGAGATATCCGTAACACAGTAGCTCTGCAATATTCTAAAGGATTGTATAAAATCTCGGAGTGGGCGGATTTGGTAACTATTCATCCAGTATCTGGTACAGGAGTTTTAGATGGTGTCAAAGAAGCTTCACAAACATATTTACAAGATCGAGGAAAATTCTTAATCACAGAAACGTAATCACAGAAATGTCATCACTTATTTTTAGTTTTTTTATTTTTTTTAGGTAACATTATTCCTTCACTCTCTTTCAGAAGCAGAAATGAAACAGAATTCATTTTGTTTTATAAATAATAAACAGTGTATCTTCAGTGAATTTAAATGTTACATTTATTATAATTATAAAAAATGTTATGACTTCAGTCATAACAATTCATTATTTTTGTTATTTTTCATATACATATTATAATGTTAATGATAATCACAAAAAATACTTTTTATTTTTATTCTTATTAATATTTGAAACATAGTACATTCTCATTCTTAAAAGATCTAATTCTTTTTTGAGAAAAATATCATACGTATTTGCAATGATATGATAAGAAAATTTTTTATTTAATTATTTATACAAAGATATTTAATAAATAAGCAGTTCTATTAAGTGAATCGAAGACAAACTATTAACTATGTTACTGAAAACAGTAACAATAAATATTCACTTCACTGCATAATATACTGTTAACGGTCTTTACAATAACAATTCATTAATTTTGAACTCTACAATTTATATCTGAATTCCTTATATATATAAATATATAATATAAATATATTTAACGAGATAAATTATGTAATTGTGGATCTTTTTTATCACTAGACATTGCAAACATATATATGTCTATCACTAGACATTTATACATTGAAGACTTGCTTTTCAGGATTAAATTATAAGTAAAACTTGATGATATAATCGAAAAGTTTTCCTTTCGATCTTAATTTCCAATTTTGTATAATCGTCTTTGTCGCTGTAAAA